TGTCGCTGAACTCCGTTCATTTCTTGGGTTGGTGGAATATTACACCAAGTTTGTGCCACACTTGGCTGAGATGGTAAAACCAACGAGGGCTCTTCTTAGGAAAGGCGAAACCTTCACCCGGTCTGTTGAGGTGGATAACAGTTTCCGCCCAGTAAAGGCGGTATTATCGTCAGATCTTGTCTCGCACATGTTTGATCCTGCGCTTCCAATTATCATCTCGACTGATGCATCCGAATGTGGTCTAGGAGCAGTCCTTCAGCTGCACGCCGGCGATAATCTTTGTACTGTTGCTTTTGCATCACCTACGCTATTTCCGGCTGAAAGAAAGTATGCAATTGACGAGAAGGAAGCACTTGCATGAATTTGGGCATGCGAGCATTGGCATACATACCTGTGGGGACAGATCTTCACTCTCCGAAGAGATCAACAAGCACTCGTTTCGCTTTTGTCTTCACAAAGCTCAGGCAGACGCCCACTTGGACTCGGTGCCCAAGGCTACTATGGCACAATTTCACGGTGGAGTAACAGAAAGGCCTGTCCAACAGAGTAGCTGCTGCTATCCCGGTTAACTGTTCATATAGCAGATAGGGAGCTGAATTTTGAGGAAGAGATTGTTTCCATGGTTCGACCAACTAGCATGACAAAAGAGCAGTTTGAACAAGCGGTTCAAACACAGACACTTGCCGCGAGATCTGCAACCATACTTCAGAATTCGAGAGGAATTGTCAGTAGTGGGCAAATTGCTGATGCGTGCAGAGGCTCGTAGTTCCTTCATTTCTCATGGTTCAACTTGTGGCAACAGCGCATGAAATGCACGAGGGTATTTCATGCACCGAGGCCATACTTAGGCATCAATTTTGGTGGCCCCGCAAGGACATTCATGTGGAAGAAGCAGTCCACAATTGCAGCATCTGTCAAGCAGCAGATAAATCTGCAAAGACGTCGCCTGCTCCAAGCAACCGGTTGAGTTACCAGAGAGACCATGGCAGAAACTTTCAATTAATATCGTTGGTCCCCTGGAGAGGGCGCCTCCAGATTGCAGATTTGTCCCGACACTAGTAGACTACTTCTCAAAATGGCCAGAAGTACAGTCTGCAACGGAAATTTCTACAAGCACCGCAACTGAATTCTTGCTCAATGTGTTTGCACGGGAAGGATATCCTGAAGAGATAGTTTGTGATAATGAGCCCCAGTTCACGTCAAAGGAACTTGTCAACGTCTTACAAGAATGAGCGATCCGCCTATCACATTCATCCGTTAATTACCTGCAGGGAAAGGACAGATCGAGTGATTCAACTGCACTTTCAAGACTTACCACAATTGGCCCATCTGGAACAACGTCCCTTGCGAACGACTGCGCGGGATTATATCGCCGCATACAAGTGTACACCACACGCCACCACAAGAGTGGCCCCTGCGGTAGGTACTGTTACATAAAAGACTGGCAAGAACGAAGCTTGATATCTTCGGGTTATCACCTGAGTCCTTCCCAAAGGCACCCTACCAGGAACTGGCCAAGCTCCGGCAACGTGTCAAGCGCAGGCAAGAGTACAACAAAGCTTACACCGACAGGAGGCGAGCGGCTGAACTGACAACAGTGGTAGTGGGAGACACAGTGCGCGTGAGAAAACCATCGAATTCATTCAAGGGTGACATCCCTTTCTCGAAACCAAGGAAAGTCATCGAGCAGTGCAGTCCAGCATCCTTCATTCTCGACGACAGCAAAACAAGAACGCGGCCAAGCTGTGTAAGGTGCCTGCTCGGCGCCCTGGCGACAATGACCGTCAGCAACATTCTGCAGGGAAGCTGCAGCTATCGTCGTTCTATCACGATCCCTTGGATGCGACACTTCTAGCTGCAATATGTCAGCCAGCATCTGCGGAGGCAAGCGTTCTGTGCCTAGTGCAGACTACGATTCCGGGTCGCGGAGACCAGCCGCCGGACAGTTTCCTGCTTCAGAAACTGTGTCACGCCCGGCCATGAACCATGTAGAAGAACCTGTAGTGTCGCGCCCACCTGGTCATCGCATTCAGCCACACCGCGAGAGACGGCCACCGTACCAATATGGTTACTAACTGTGAATGGATAAATAGTTCGAAGTTCGTGTACCTGTATACTTAGAATGTATTCAATATTTGTGCATGTGTAGAGATAATTTGGTGTGAATGTGGGTGCGATGAACATATACTAATATATACTAACGTACTAATACCTTCACAAAACCTAAAATAAATAAAGAGGAAATGTGTAGTATATTGCAGTTTTAATTTCAGTGTGTAGGTTGGCACCACTGTGTTGTGGTGCTTGTATATATTTGTGGAACGTTTAAAAAAACGGCAGTATGTATGCAGCTGCTACCCTGGGCGTGTCAGTCCCATTACTTCTTCACTACAATGGGGTCCCTCATTATTTTTAATGAAACACACAGGAAAAATAACCAGCTGGGTCACTAAATGCAAAATATGGAAGGCTCACTCCATATACAATATACTGATATCCGCACTGTCCATGGCCTATACACCAGAACACAGCGAGCTCAGTGCTTGCTGCCATATTGAATAGCGCATGGCGCCATATTGAATAGCGCATGGCGCCATCTGTTGCAACAGCGGCAAAGCAACACCCTCAACTGCCACGCGAGCAGGTCTGCAAATCAAACGCGAAACTTCACAACCCGAGCCCAGCCGTAAGCATGTTTCGCGCTGTTCCTCTACTGAAATTTTGTGCCGATTTCGTGTGAAACGTCGAGGAGACCTTCCTCGACAGTCCGGAATGTCTGCAGCACGTGCATCGCAGACTGCGGAATCAACTTCATCGGGTACGTATTATACGACTGAAAGAAACGCGAACAGCGGAAAGCTTTAACTATGGCGTGCCTTGGCTGTGACAAGGCAGAATTTGTGCAGTAAGCCAGCGTCAACGTAATGCTAGAATCTGGCTCCAACTTACGCTTATGCATCGCACGTGTATCAATTGCCAGTCTTGCCAGGCACTCGGAACACACACGCGGTGGAAAAGTGCCAGCCAGAACAAGATTTTTAAATGCTACGGTGATGCTGGCTGAAAGCACATGTAGATTCTCCTAATGACAGTCAAGGCAAGTCGCAGTTCGACCGAGTCGAAAGCCATGCTTTCCGCACCGTTCACATCTCTTTGCATTGCGATAGTAGGCCGTTACAGTTGTACTAAACATGTGCGGTGCGTGCATCCACACGTGAGCTGTAATACGTATATCCTATTATTGACGCGCGGCCAGCAAAAGTACGGCAATAGTTTTGTACCGCATAATAAGGCATACTGCGCACAAATCGCTACTGCAAGGTGGAACAGCTGGAGTCGCGCTTGAATAAATACAATAAGTATACTTACAAGTACACTTCACTGGGCTCGTAGTTTTTCCTGCTGATTGCGATTATATCCTAAGGCGGCAGAGCTCAGCGTTTTTCGTTGTGGACGGAAATCTGTGCAATCACAAAATACCGCACCTGCACGATTCCCGCGATGCGCTGTGAACTTCACAGGTAGTGCTCAGCAAACTCTTCTTTGTTGTTGTCGCATCAAATGACAGCGCAGTGGTACCCAGATGACATTTTGTAAGCGGGCGCAGCGTGAACTGGCACTTTTTCGCATATTTAACTCCCAGAGCCCCTGCATGCCATGCTAGAGAGGCACGCCTTGGCAGTTTCAAACAAGTTATGGCGTCTCTGGGAGCGAGAGTACACCACCAAAGGCGCCTGGGTGCGAGATAGGCAAGCTCTCGTCTATAGATGGTGCACAAAGTAAACCAACATGGCGATCAGGAGAAAGATAGGGAGCGAGTAGAAGGGTGTGGAAGCATGCTGTAGGACTTGCTTTGACAGATGTAATGGTGCCAAGCCATTTTCATAATGCAGCATCGCGCTCCACATTGTAATGGATTACAATAACGTGCAAAATCAAGAGGAACTGAGAACAAATTTGTAAAACAACCATTCCACTTGACTTCAGCCCCTTTCCACAACTCGGCAGAAGCATGGCAAGTGCGGGGACACAGACTTCAAACACATCGACTCCACCTGCCCCATGGTTTTTCAACACCCCGAGAACCCCCAAAGCCGTTTCACGGCAACCCTTAAGAGGACGTTGATGACTGGCATGACGACTACAACCAAATTTGCCAGCATCGATGAATGGAAAGAGCACCGAAAGCTTGGGTATGTCTACTTTTATTACGAGCACACTGCGCACACTTGGTTCAAAAACCATGAAGCCACTACAGCAACCTGACCAGAGTTTTGTACCCATTCTCACTTTTGTTTGATTCAGTTTTCGCCCACAAAGCCTGGGTCAGAAATGTTCAGCGCAAACTGCACCTCATTGTTCAAGAAGGTCGCGATCATTGTAGATCATTCTATTAAGATTATCCGCAAGATGCGAAGACCCGAGTTTACTCCATATGATGCGAAGACCAGTGATAAGGCTGGAATATTAGACGACACATGCATAAATGCTCCCACACTTCGCCGCTTGTCAGTTAATCGACGGCCGCTGCTCTGTTCACCACTTTCAGTGCCAGTGTCTTGCTGACTTTCATTTTACGTGGCCACAAATTCGGCCCAATAGACAGTTTAATCTGAACACCCAGTCTGCTCCCTTCGTCCGCGTCACGACCCATGACAATATATATAAACTTCGCAGGTGCCTAACAAAGAGCATGCTCATGTCTTTAGTGCACAACTGGATTAGACTGAATTATCTCCAATCTGCAAGTGGCCAACATACCATTTATTTCTAGCTAAAATTAGGTCAACTGTGAAAATTTCGAGGCTAGTTGGGCATTTTGATAGAGCATAGTACAAACCAATATTTTTCACAGTTTTGGCACAGGTTGGCGCAAACATAAATTGTGTCAAATTGGCACGGCTGTTCCATCCTTGGATTTTTGCTAGAAGTGCATGAAACACTAGAACAATAGTGAACCAGTGAAGAAGTACCATTAAATGATAACATTCTAAATATAGCTACCTGTCCTCTCGATTATAGCGGTCTCGTTGAGGTGGTGGTCCTGCCGATGGTCCTCCTCGTGAGTAATCATCCCCTCGAAAAGGAGGAGCATCCCTACCATGGCGTCCTTCATCCCTTCCGAAGCGTCGATCAGATGAGTAGTCATCTCCGCGACGGGGAGGAGAACGGTCGTATGGCTTGCCGATGGGTGCCCTGCAGAATCAGTACAGCAATTACGCTTAAGGATATATATTCACTTATACGAACAGTAAACAAAACTTAAGCAATAGCAAACTTTCAACTTTCATCCCCACCTGTGTCCTGTGAATCTCTTGCAAGACATTAACTCGGGTGCCAAGCAAACGACATAAATGAAGCATGCCATGGGGGAAAGGAGGATTAGCTTTGACTGTACTACAGTTAATCTAAAAGTTAATTTGAGAGTTTTTTTAACCATATCAGGATCATTTTATGATGATATTGAATGTCCAATAACAATTAAAGCAATTCAGTTTGCTTAGAAACTTGTCAATAATTTCAAATACCTGGAAACTGATGATTCCATACCGAAACAAAAATAAGCAGCTACTTCATGCACTGTCTACATACAATAATGTCACAATCTAGCCTACCATATGGAAGCAGAGTACATGTGGTGCTAGGCACCCGAAAGGTGAGAGGAGGTCTGATGACATGACGAACTATGCCAGCACTTTGGAGCTTAAGAGCAGTAATTTCAGCAATATCAGTGCTGAAGGATTGCTGTGCTGTGGGAGAAAGGCTCCAAAATCACAATCACACAAAAACTTCACTGGCAATTTCAAATATCGGTGCCATTCTACGAAAGCCCCATAACGGTGCGAACTCGATGCGTTGGTGCAACATCTACACCTTATATAATACCCCTGTCACACGGGCACTTAAAAGTCTTTTAAGTAAGCGGTCTTTTTCCGAAAAGGAGTTCCTGACAGCAGACACACGGCACAGAGCGAACTCCTTTTCAGAAGCGGTCTTTTTCGTAAACTGAGTTCGTCTATCTCTTTTACGGCTCCGAATGAGTAGCCTCGAAACCAGTGGGCGCCAGCGATTTTCGAGTGGCGGAAAAAAAAGAGCGAATACTTATTTTTTGTCACCAAAACTCTTTGTAAAAACAAATTTCGTATCCTGCAGAAGGTGTATTGAACTCTTTTAATGGTTATTTCCTTTTCTACTCTCGTGAGCAGCTACGACACGTTGGCAATATTACGTGGGGACGCTCGGTCTCGCGCTGAGCCATTTTGCACAAGCGACGAAAGCGTGGCAGTCGTGTGTTTGCCCGTCATTCAAGTGGTCAAGCTTGTCTAGGGCAACGCCGACTCGCTTCTCAGGAGTGATGGTTTCACGCATGCTGGTGCACCGTCTTTCGAGCTCACTGCGCAAGCTCTCCACAGTGGTGCCCAGTGGTGCCAGACGGACTTGTGCACGTCGCTAGTTATGGGAATGCTTCCTTAACTAGTGCAACAAACTTTCACATTGGTGTTTCTTCATCTCTTATTCTTAAATTTATTTGAAGAAACGAGCAGTGCAACAAGTCTTCAATTTCTACATTGTGATACATCGTTTAATTTTCATTGCTTCTCTTTTAACTGCTAGTGCCACGCTTTCGCTAGCGTCTTCGAACGAAAACACTAAAAGGAGATCGTTGCTGCCGTGTGTATGCGCCGCAACACCTCTTTGTTAAAAGTCTTTCAACTTCGTAAAACACCGCTTACTTAAAAGACTTTTTGCGCGCCCGTGTGACACAGGTATAACATGGCCAACACGGATCAGACAATGGTACAAGTAGACAACCCCGCCAACAGGACGAACAACGTGGCCGGCGAAAGCACCATACGGATTGCGAACACTGAATATGTCCGGCAAGGCTTCATAGTTTGCCTAGCTGTTTGCGCCACTAGCCAACAATCTCTCAGCCACCATTATCTCCAAGAAGTACAGTGGAAAAATTTCAGCCCAGGCCTTTGTAAGGGTTTGCATACCAGGGGAGAATAATTTAATTTTTTTTATGGGAGTGAGGGGTAAAATTGTCATCTAGCTCGTTTTATCACAACACTGGCTTTTTTTCCTATTCATAGCAAATGTTTGTCTCACCGCCACGTAACACAGCTGGATGAAATCGGAGAAAATGCAAGAATGGCTGCCGAGAATCTGGGGCCCAAACGTCGATGACGTGTGACGCTTACTAGTGTTGGACCAGGCGCCCATCCATAAGACACAAGTCGCCACAAATGCCTTTGACGAGTACGACACCAACGTGCTTTACGGGCCTGCGGGGCGCATGAGCATCTTGCAGCCTGCTGATGTGTATTGGAATAAGCCATTGAAGTCCACCTTGTGACGTTTGTGGGAGCAGTATATGCGTGAGGAAGCACGAACACAGAAAAAAAAAACTTGAAGCCGTTGCGGCAACATGTGCTCAATTTCGTTGCCGAGGCGTGGGCCGCTGTAAATGAGAAAACAGTGGCACGATCCTTTAAGGAATTCGATATCAGTAACGCACTCAATGCCTCGGAGAACGGCAACCTGCATAGCGGACTGGACGATGTTGGAGCTGTGGTGCCAGAAGACCGCGGCGGCCTTCAAGCGGAATGCTGGAGGAGGCTTTCGATGGTTTCGAAAGCAATTAAAGGCTACAACAAATACTGTGACTAACTAAAGTTCACTTTAATAAGATTTCAATCCGTGTCCAGTGCGTTTTTCTTTTTTTCTGGCGCGAAAATTTTGCCACTATCTTGAGTTTTGGGGCCGTTCTGAAATAGCCCCCCCCCCCCCCCCCCATTTTTCCGGTTTCATTGGGGGGGGGGGGGGGGAGGGTGCTTTTTCAGAATTTTTCGGTAAATTACTTGCAGTCATATCAGTTTGCAATGTTGTCACAGTGCAAACAAAAAGTGGAGGTATTGAAAATTGAGATCAGTCTACATCAGAATAATTACCGTCAGTCCACCTTAGTTCCAAGATTGCATACATTTGTTCACCCCCTTTTAATATTATACAGCCAGGCTTCTCGTTTTATTGTGATGATAAGACATATGGGACACTCATTTCAAACAGAAATTCAGGACCACAAGTTTAGGGCTTAAAGCTGGCTTCCCTAAATTGCATTCTCTGCACATATGAAAAAAAAAACTCTTTGAGTGGAGTTCAGTTTGCATAGAAGGTAAAGACCGTAAGGGTCTACTTACCACACATACAAAGAACATTATTTAAACACCAGAGGGACTAGTTGAACAAAGTCTTAATGCCCCCTCAACCAGTCGGCAGCTCCACCGAGGACGGCACAAGAAGTTGAAGATTATCGACGATGGCCCGGGCCCTCCAGACAGCCAGTAGTTGTAGACCCAAGTCCAAGCTGTGTAATCTCCCCCGCTAGGAGTCTAAGGAGTCATTACCATACATCAGCGCCCACAATTGCAGGGCACTGCCACAATATGTGGGTTAGCGAGCAACTCTCGAGGCCACAATTAAGACACTCTTCATGAAAGTGTGGCTCTATCCTATGATACGTTCGCGGGCAGAGATATGTACCTTCTATGCAAACTGAAGTCCACTCAAAGAGCTTTTTTTCTTTATATGTGCAGAGAATGCAATTTAGGTAAGCCAGCTTATTTGCATGACTACACCAAATTTTCAGTCCTGCTGAAAAAAAAAAGACTGAGGCATTACACTGAAGCTTTACAAAGCACCAAAAACAGCTATATTACATGTGGTCGCTTGTCAACCAAATCTGCAAATTTGCTTTCACACCCAGATAACAAACTTCTGGTCATCTCTTGCGCCAGCATCATAGGGATTGGTACATCTCTCAACAAGAGAATACAGATGTTATTACACATACCTGTCATCTCGTTTATATTCCCGCTCATCATAGTCGCGGTGCACCGGAGACCTGTCCCTCTGCATCCCTGATTCGTGTCGACGATTGTGGTCCGAGTAGTCCCTAAAAAATTGCAATCATGCACTTCTGACAAGACATTCCTAGCATACAAACTAATTTGAGTAAATATTCAAAGGAGCTTTTTTTCTGTATGTGCAAAGCAGTGATGTGATTCATGTAAGCCATTTTGGCGTACCTTCTGGAGCCAGTAAAATCTCACTTAAGAGCAACATAAAAAATGGTTGGAGCAGTTGCCTGCCACACATTTTCAGCCACAAACATTTGTCTCTAACTGCCGTATTCATGAACATACCTTATCGCGGTAAGACTACTTACTCAAGGAAGAGAAAAGTATAAGAAAAAATAAGGATAGTTTCGAAAACCTGCCTTATCTTTTTATAAGCGCACCTTATGAAAGGAGTCATTAACTCGTCAAAGTATGAACGCTGGGAGAGAGGACAGGTACACTTTTGCTACAAATTCATTGCCTCGAGTAGCAATAAATTAGCCTTACTGCAATAAAGCAACAACAGTATGCACAGAAGTAGCCATATGTAAACAGCCGAAATGTTTGTTGAGGCACCGGCGATGAAACACACATTTTTTTGTATGGCCACATTTGATCAACCCCTATCAACGCAGCAGGTTTTCCAGGTTACTTTTGTTATTTCGACGTCTTGTACGCTTTTGCTATGTTTGATGGTGTGTCCGTGCTTACTTCATCGTTTGCAGCTTTTGTTAACTTTTTTCAAATTTTCACCACTAGATGTATTTAACTGCTTGAGCAGCTAGTTCTACAGTATCTTTTTATGGTGTTGCATTTATTCTGGAACGGTGGAGCACTGAAGTGAACTTCACCAATAAAGTGGCTATTTTCCGACGGATTTGGTCAACAAGTACTGAGGTATGCTTGAAAACATGAAGACGGATGCCGTGTGCCTTCAAAGAAAACAAAAAATGTGGAAGCAGCTTGCAAGAGAATTCAACAGCTGACACATTGTGCATCCATGTATGGCAGATCAAACAACTACAACAATGTTTGTGCCACTTCAGGAAGTTTTTACATAGTGGAAAACAGTGTTTTTGCAATCGCAGCAGGTGTCCCCTGGTCTGTATACTCGCGACACGGTCGTTCGCTCCCAAGTTGAATTGAAGTGTGCCAACTTCATAAAAAACCCACTCGATGAGCAGCTGAATTAGAGGCAAAGCAACTGCATGGAAGCTGGGGCTGTTGCACCACATGTCATAGAAAATAAGTTTACGCACGCACGTATGCATGCATGCCCGTATAAACCATACCATGCTCCATGACTTGGAGTACTCCTGAACATAAAAATAGGCCACTGCTCTTTGCTTTTCTGTATACATTCCCAAATCACCTCAGGCTACCAACACTTTCCAAGAATTAATCCGATATTTCTAAATATTGACGCAAGGTAGGCTGGCAACTATAGTAGCCAGCCCCTGAAGAGGACAACGAAGTAGTTCTGTGTGCGCGTGCTCTGGTGTTCGCGTTTCTGGCCCTTGGGTTACGAAAGTAAACGCCATATTTTGTACCAGAGTGCCTGTGTCTTTGTGACATTTTCTGGTGGAAGTGCTGGGTACGGTAGATGATACGGTCCCCTGAGAGCACCCCTGACGCAAGTCCATCGAGTATCTCAGCCGAGCTTACCCCTGTGCACGTACGTTCCAGCCGTCGTCTCCAGGGACTCGAGCCACAGCACGGTTTGCTGCCTGAACGTCAGAGGACTATGAATCAAACACCGCCTAACGTCACCGTGCCAGCACCAGCGCACCTGGTTATCAACCAGCCCAAGACGCCGAAGACATTTCACGGAGCTGCTTTTGAAGATGCCGACGACTGGCTCGAGCATTTCAACCGGGTCGCCGTCATCAACGATTGGACCCCAGAGCGTAAGCTACGCTATGTGTACTGCTTCCTGGAGGACTCCGCAAAAACGTGGTTTGAGAACCATGAAGCAGCGCTTACGTCATGGGATGAGTTCCAACGGCAGTTCCTCAAGGCATTTGCCGAGAGGACAGGAAAGAGACAGCGGAGCGTGCTATAGAGGCAAGGGTTCAAGGCCCTAACGAAAGGGTGACGACCTACGTAGAGGACATGGATCGGCTTTTCAGGCGTGCGGAGCCCTCTATGTCCGAATCCAAGAAAGTTCGCCATCTAATGCGTGGTGTTAAAAGAAGAGATTTTTGCCGGCCTGATTCGAAACCCGCCTGCGACACTTGCGGAGTTCCATGAGGAAGCCACTGCCATGGAGAGGGCCCTTCAACAGCGTGCCAGGCAGTATAACCGTGGTGTAAACCCAAGTGAGGCCATCTTCTTACACCGGTGGGGCGGTGCACAGCGCGAGTCAGTATTCACGTATTTACGTATCTCGGAGATTTTGTAATACTGCCGAGTTGCTCGAGGGACCTAATTCTTGGACTGGACTTTCTGCGTGATAATGGAGCCGTGATTGATTTGCAAAAGTCGCAAGTGACGTTTTCTACGGCACACGCTTTAGCGCGCAACCCTCACGGCAGTTACGTCAATGCTTTGAGAATTGTTGACGATGACGTCACGTTAGCGCCGAAGAGTAGCGTGTTCACCTTGGTAGTCTGTGACGTTTTTGACGAATTCAACGACTATGAAGGTATTGCAGAGGCAAATATCCCGCTGCTGCTCAAACGAAACATATGCATAGCCCGATGCCTTGTTCGGTTACAGAATAAACGCTCTCGAGTTATGCTAACCAACTTCAGCAATGAGTTTCAGCACGTTCCTAGAGGGACTACTGTCGCTTTCCTCAGTGAAATCGCCGACTTTTTCGATATTGGCACATTGGATACGACTTCATCGCATGCAAAAGCTTGTGCTCACCTGGGAAGCCGCATTCACGTTAATCCAGACTTGCCAGATTCACGAAAAGAGTGGCTGCTAAACCTTGTGAGGGATTTCTCGGACTGCTTCTCCACAGCATCGAAAGTTCGGCGTACCACCGTTACAAAACACCGCATTGTTTCTGAGGAGTCGGCGCGGCCTCTTCGCCAACATCCATACCGTGTGTCCCCGAAAGAAAGAGATTGATTGATATGTGGGGTTAAACGTCCCAAAACCACTCTATGATTATGAGAGACGCCGTAGTGGAGGGCTCCGGAAATTTAGACCACCTGGGGTTCTTTAACGTGCACCCAAATCTGAGCACACGGGCCTACAACATTTCCGCCTCCATCGGAAATGCAGCCGCCGCAGCCGGGATTCGAACCCGCGCCCTGCGGGTCAGCAGCCGAGTACCTTAGCCACTAGACCACCGCGGCGAGGCCCGAAAGAAAGAGAGGTGATTAAGCGTCAAGTTCAAGAAATGCTGAATGATGACGCCATCCAACCCTCGACAAGTCCGTGGGCGTCACCTGTTGTCTTAGTAAAGAAAAAAGACAACACACTACGCTTCTGCGTCGACTATCGACGGTTTAACAAAGTCACGAAACGTGACGTTTACCCCTTGCCACGGATTGATGACGCCTTAGACCGTCTATGCCACGCCCAGTTCTTTACATCACTAGATCTCAAGTCAGGGTACTGGCAAATTGAAGTTGACGAGGGCGACCGTGAGAAAACCGCGTTCGTGACGCCCGACGGGCTCTACGAATTTAAAGTGCTGCCTTTCGGTCTCTGTTCCGCTCCCGCCACGTTTCAACGCATGATGGATACTGTACTAGCTGGACTAAAGTGGCAGACGTGTCTTGTATACTTGGATGATGTCGTTGTGTTTTCAACCACATTTGACGAGCATCTTTCAAGGCTAAAAAGTGTCCTCACTGCAATAAGGAGAGCGAACCTTACTATCAAGCCCGAAAAGTGCTACTTCGGCTATCAGGAACTCAAGTTTCTCGGCCACGTGGTTAGCCCGGAGGGTGTTCGACCAGATCCGGAGAAGTTGGCTGCCATTGCCGATTTCCCTCGTCCTGGAAATAGAAAGGCTATTCAGCGATTCCTCGGACTCTGTGCGTACTACCGCCGTTTTGTCGAAGGATTTTCGAAAATTGCGGAACCTCTTACAAGACTGACACGGCCAGATGTACCTTTCGTATGGACGGAAGAACAACAACAAGCCTTCGTAGAGCTGCGCAATCGACTGCCGACAGCTCGAGTGCTGGCACATTTCGACGACACTGACGACACCGAGATCCACACAGACGCCAGCAACGTGGGAATCGAAGCCATTCTAGTTCAATGGCAGATTGGCGCAGAGCATGTGATCGCTTACGCGAACCGCAGTCTCACAAAAGCAGAGGCTAATTACTCTACCACCGAAAAAGAGTGCCTAGCAGTCGTTTGGGCCATTAGCAAGTTTCGACCCTACCTATACGGCCGGCCATTTCGAGCGGTCAGTGACCACCATTCGTTCTGTTGGCTTGCCAATCTATGGGATCCATCAGGCCGCCTCGCCCGCTGAAGCCTCCGCCTTCAAGAGTACGACATAACGGTAGTCTACCGATCAGGGCATAAGCATACAGATGCTGATTGCCTGTCTCATGCTCCTATTTCACCGACGTCATCTGACACTGAACAAGATTTACCGTTTCTTGGCATCGTCGATGTGGTGCGGATGACTGAGCTTCAACGTGAGGACACTGAGCTACTTCCTGTCATCCAGCATCTTCAAGGAGAAGACGTTATCGTCCCACGCCGACTCTCGCGTGGTTTGAATACGTATTGCCTGCGAAACAATGTTCTCTACAAGAGAAATCTTGAGAGCAGCCAGGAAACTTTCCTCCTCGCCGTTCCAATGGCACTGCGTGAGGAAGTTTTGCAGGCGTGCCACGACGATCCTTCGGCCGGTCACTTAGGCTTTGCTAGGACATTAGCGCGCATCCGACAGAAGTACTACTGGCCACAGCTGTATTCGTCCGTTCAGCGCTATGTCCGCACCTGCCGTGACTGTCAGAGGCGTAAAGTTCCACCCGCAAAGCCCGCCGGTTTTCTCCAACCTTTAGATCCACCTCGAGCACCATTTCAGCAAGTAGGAATGGATCTTCTTGGTCCCTTCCCTACGTCATCCTCA